AATTTAAGATATATATTTTGCACAATTAAAGTGGGAACTCAGTCCTTGGGTAAATGAAAACTATTATTTAGATAATTGATCCTTAAAAGTTAAAGTTTCACAATAATTTAATCTCTCTATTAATCAATCAAGTTGTATATAAAAATAAAATCCTTTAAATATTCAATGGAACTACTTTGACTCATATTCAAAAGATAAAAATTGTTGGCGAATAATATATAAATTATTGATTTGAGCAGCAAGTAGTTCAATATCGTTTAAGTAAATTTTTGAATTCGAATTCTTATATATGTAAAAAAATCTTCATAACTCACTCATCATATCCAAGCGCATGACCTAGCTCAAATTTAGATTAAACTGGATGAGAAATAAAAAAAATAATAAAATTACACCTATAGTACTTTCACAATTTTTTTTATTTCTAAATTTTAGAGAGAGAAATTTTTACTTAACTTTTGATTATTATCTTATATAAACTTTCAATGTTTGATAAATATTTTTATTTATATAAATTTCATAATACTTAATATGTTATTTTTATTATTTTAAAATAAATTATATTTTAAAATTATTGTAATTTTATTAAATCTATTATTTTGGTGCATTTGTAGTTACAAAGTTAAATTAAAATAAAATATTTATGCATCTTACGGCATGTTAATAACTAGGATTATTAATAAGACAATGGAAATAAAAGTATGAAACATTAATCAGTACACATGTAACATTATTGGCTAATTAAATTACTTACACATCTAGGGATAACAATGGGTAAAGTATCCGATGAACACCCTCAAAATTTACCCACAATGGGTAGAGTATTTATCCGCTATATGGGTACGGGTATGGGTATCTAAGTACTCACTCTACCACACACACACACACACATATATATATATATATATATATATATGTATGCTTGAACTTTGTTCAACAATTATCCATTGAATTTTTGTATTATTATATTACATATGTGAAATTATATAAGACTAATATAACAATATATTGAATAATAAAGTAAACCAAAAAAATTATTTTAGTTTATATTTTTAATAGAAAAAATTATTTATTATTTTATATCATTTAATTAGGCTAATACAATTTAATTATTACATAGTTGATATAAGATTGAATTTTTTTTAAAATATTATTTATATATGACACACATAAAATATTTTTCACACAAATATTTTTGTTAGTAAAATCATATTGATATTTAAATCATAAAGTGAATGATAAATAATAAATATATTATAAATTTTACAATCACCTACTATTACGGTAAACTTATTATTTATTGATAATATTTAAATTTTTTTTTATATTTTTAATTTAAAATAATATTTTTCTATACAACATATGTATTACAAGTACAACTATAATCTATTGTATCTAAATAATATTATTCTTACTATTTATTCACGTTCAAAGAAGTTTTTGAAAAGATATAAAATATAAAAAAGTATAATTTTTTTAATATACACGTATATTTTTTTATTATAAAATTTTGTTGTGATCATTTATCTTTTATTCAAATTCTTTCTTTTAAAATTTATATACATTATAAATATTTAATTCATTAAAATAATTTTTCAAAAAGTTGTATTTTTGAACAAAATACTTTCGTATAGTATATGCGTTAAAAATACTAGTATTAATATATATATATATATATATATATATTAATTATATTATATTATTTTAATTAAATCTATCATTTTTCTTACAATTTCAAATTTAAAAGTTAAAAAAAATATTTTTGTATCCACTTTTCGTGTTAGTACTTGAAGTTATCTACCGTAACTCTATTCTCATTCTCAATGTCTATCTCATTAAAACCTAACAACTATAAAACGTTATTCATTAGAGTTAGTTGTCAATACCGTCACAAGAGGTCACCTAGTGATCCCACACGAAGGGATACCTATTATGTAGATCTATTTTGTTGTTGCTTTGACATTGTCGGTCGATCGAATCTCACACAAAATAGAGCTATCACTAACAAATAACTTGTGTGTTTAGTTTCGCTTATTGTTTCTAAGAATTTTAGTTTCAAAAATTATTATATTAAAATATATTTAACACTTGTGATTTTTGAATAGCAACAAGTCAAGACTATCCATTTGGAGACCACTTGCAAGATCATTTTCACATGAAAGATAGACTAAAGTACCACTAATTAATACTTAAATCCAGTTGAAAAGGAAGAAACTAATTGGAAATAAGATAAGTCAAGCAAGTTAATTCAGAATGATTAAGAATCTTAACTAAGATTTAGACTTAGTGTGAATACTAAAATTTTGTTTAAAAATTTTTATATTTATTTTTTGAAAATCTAAATTTAGTTTTTCCAAAGGAGGATGGAAACAAAATGTTTTAAGAAAACTAAAGTTTTTTTTAATAAAATGGAAATGATAACATTGCAAGAATTGAACAAAAAATTAAGCAAACTCTTTTAACATGAAAATGAAACTTTGATCAAATTTAGCTTTTTCCTAATTTTAAGAGCACAAAGAACATAGAGAGGGAAGGGATAAGGGTCGGAAAATAGAAAAAACATTAAAACATAAAGAAAAAAGAGAGAAATTAAAAAAAAGGAGGGAGCAAAGGAAAATAAAAAAGGGGTCTGAAAACACCAATTAAATTTGATTTCATATATTTTTTAGTTTTTCATGTATATTCAAGCATACACACCATGAATATAAGTTTTATGTAATAAAATCAACTAGCGTTCAAGCATTCCACTGTTGGTGTGAGTGTAAACTGTTGTAAGTGATCATATTTTGAGATGATTGTGTACTAAAAATTGTGGTCCCAATAATAGATGATGTATCTTATGGCAATATCTAAAATGCAAACTCATAATGCCTAATCTTCAACTCAAAAGAACTTAATTTCCTTTCCCTTCCGGCTTTAGCTTCCTTTCCACACCATTTATGGAGTACATCCACAGCAAAGCAACCTTGAAGCCTTGAGATCTTTCTTCCTTGAGCTTGATGAAACAGCCAGGCCACTAACTGTCTTTACTCAACAATCATTCTTAGGTTCCTTTGCTTCCCTTTTCTATTTAGAAATGAAGATGAAATTGTTTAAGATAAATAGGGCCATCTCACGTACTGAAGAGATAATTTATTTTCATACATATTTTTTTCTAATTCACACTTATTTTAGTTTAATATTAATTTATATTTTATAATTTATTAAATTATGTATAAATTGCAAGTATTACTTCATAAATAAGAATATTTTCAGTTTAATATAAATTATATTTTGATATTTTAATAAATTTTTAATTTAATATTTTATTTTAATATAAAAAATATACTTAAGGAAATAAAAAATACTAAAATTAAATATCAGATATATATATATATATATAGTTTAAAATATTAAATAAAAATTAAATAAAACTAAACATGTATTTTTTAGTTTTTAAAATTTATTTTCAAAAACAAATTTATCAAATAAGGTTTTTTTTTCATCTTAAAAACAGTTTTGAAAACTAAACTAATAAATAAGTTTTATTTTTACTTTCTGCTTAAAAATAATTTTAAATAATTATTAAAAATTAAAAGTCATAACAGAAACAGAAAAGTCCTAAGTTATTTTAGAATTTAATTTTTTAAAAAACAGTACATTCTCAAAAACTAAGTTATAAGTGATTTTCCCCGTAGAAGTTTCCATGTTCTCTGTAGGAGAAAGATGGATTTATCTTTAGATTTCAATTGAAACCTTAATCAGATGGGACCACTCTTCACATTCACTCAAGTATTGAGAATCTTACAACTTTATATATCTGAAAGGTCAAAGCGCTTAATTAATAGCTCTTCATCTTTTTTAGATGCAAGAGTCGATCTTCTTTCCCTGAACCTATCCTTTGAGATTACCAATTATGTTTGTCATCATTTATAAAGCTTTGGTTCCTTTAATATATGGTTTTCCACAAAATATATTATGGTTAATAAATAATGAAAAACTCTTTTATTATTATTATTATTATTATTGATTCGAAATTAGTATGAGATGCCAGTTTGTTCTGAAGGCTTATTACATTTCTCTCAAAAGCCATCAGAAAGATATCTTTGGTAAACAATGAATATAAATTTTCAGCACGTAATCATTTTTCCATTTAAAATTAAGTGTATTTTTTTTAAATCAATATTTTTATTTACGTTTTCTTTTTTTATTTTCCATCATACTATATAGTTTGCTTTTTTAGTTACCTCGATATTTTTCCTTCGTTCATGTTAAAAAAAATACATTATTTAAATTTTTTTAAATATATGCTGTAGTACTCTAAATTTTTTTTATATGTATAAATATGTATTTAAATATTATTGGTTGAAAATCTTTAGAGTACCCCCAAAAAATTTTGAACGTACAAAAGAATTTACCTTCACATGGTCAGATAATAACATCACTCAAGAAAATCCAAAAGTCCAACGCCAAGGCATGCAACTAATTGTATTACGTGATATACTTCAAATTATTATTAAGAAATATGCTTTGGGTTACACTTCTTGACTTGCACAGACAATGTCAGGAAAATCCTCACATTCTCCATTGCCATCGCCAACATGTATCGTTTCAATAGCAAAAAATCATTGTCATTTTCTTTTCAAATCTATCTTATTTTTTTGAGATAGGACAACTTGTTCATATGCAAGAAGACAATTTAGCGATATATATATGCACACAATTACTCACACACACACGTCTGCACCTCAAAAGTTTACAAATGCTTCAGAACTTGTCATACATGGAATCTATCTTAAAATAATCAAAACCATATAACATATATTTGAAACTGTGGACTCACATTAGAGAAGCATATATAATATAATAAAACCACAATACTATATTGAGAATAAATAATAGAGAAAAGAAACAAATAGTATGGTCTCAATAATTGTTAGATAAGTAACTAGTTATTGGGTAATTTTAGCTGAAAGCCAGAAACCTTGTTCAGTTGTTCACAATTTGGTTATTTGAGAGTTGAGATGAAGCACCCTCTTCCATATAACAACAATGAAGCACCTTGGCAACGAAGATTGGGTAAGACTTCATACAACCTGGCCATACAGCCCATACGGCATAATATATATATATATATATATATATATATATGTTCATTAAAATGTATGTAACTTTTTTAAGTGGCCATGTGAGTGTTAAGTAATTTTTACTTTTCATGTATGGTTGTGTGTTGAATATATATACACACACCCACACCCAAAAGGCTGCATCACCAAAACACAATATCATATGTTGTTTTCAATGCAGAAGTAGCTATGCTGCAGCATTGTGACTTGCAAATCCACATTAATGATGAGGAAACGTTCCTTTTGGACAAGGTATTCTAGGAATTATTTGGTGATTTTTCTTTTTTCATTTGTTGTCAAATATTCTTAGATTCAAAGAAATTTGATGAAAAAAAAATCCACTGTCTCGTCTGGTGAATCAATCTAATTCATTTATTTTGCAGAAGTTCATATCAAAATACTGTGGAAGAATAAAGAAAATCTTGAACCATGAAAAGAGAGAGTGCCATGACAAGAACTTGAGCATTGAAATCAATGATTTCCCTGGGGGTCCATATGGTTTTGAGCTGGTTTCAAGATTCTGTTACAACCATGGTCAAATCCCAATCACTGTATCCAATGTGCTTAATATCCATTGCTGTGCCCTTTATCTTGGAATGACTGAGGAGTTCTTCAGCAACAATCTCTTGCAACAAACAGAAACCTTTCTTGAGGGAATCTATTATTGGACATGGAATGAAGTACTTGAGAGTCTCAAGAGTTGTGACCTATTTTATACATATGTAGATAGCTATGGTCTCTTAGAGAAGATAATTTGTGCACTCTTAGCAAAGATGGCTCAAAATTCTGATGTAAACCTATTCACTTCCTCATCTTCATCATCCCCATCTTCTCCTGAAAGCAATTTTGCCAAGAGATTCTCTTATTCAACTCAAGTTACTCCCAAGATAATAGAGTCAACATTGCCAAGCAAAGCATGGTGGTTTGAGGATTTGGCTTCTTTACCCCCAAAGATCATAGAGAAGTTTCTCCAGTGTATTGGAGCTTACAGAACAGATAACAACAACTTTGTTCTCACAAGATTTCTTCTTCACTATCTAAGAAAAGTGACTCTAGCAAGTGAGGTTAATTGCAAAAGCAGTATTGAGTATTCCGGTCTTGCAGAATCAGCTGCTTATGGGGTCATATTTATTGGTAACAAGACATTTTCTTGCAAAAGCCTTTTCTGGGTACTATGGATTGTATCAAGATTTGGGATGAGTAGAGATTGTAGATATGAAATTGAGAAATTGATTGGTGGGGTGTTTGAGCAAGCAACATTGGATGATCTACTAGTCTCTGGGCATCATTTGGGACTATATTATGATGTAACCTTTGTGATAAGGTTGATTAAGCAATTTGTTAATATGAATGACACTGATGGAGTGTCTGTACAGAAACTGAAAAAAGTTGGTAGATTAATTGACAAGTATTTGGCAGAGATATCCCCAGATCAGAACCTCAAGATCTCTAAATTTCGTGCAGTTGCAGAATGTTTGCCTGATTGTGCTAGGGATTGCTTTGATGGGGTCTACAAAGCCATTGGCATCTATCTTCAGGTGAATTCATATTCATATACCCTTTTTTTCTTTTGCTGCTATCATGCATTATTATCTTTCTAAAGAGTCATAAGAATTGGGAAATAGCAGAGACAAAAACTTGCATTCATGTTTGAAATTGGTTAAAATTAAATAATTTTGTAATGAGGTATCTTAATAGTAGAAAAGAAAACTGGCTTGTGCAAATTCAGTTGAAAATTTCCCAATTTGGTGTAACATTTTTTTTTCTTTTTTCTCTGTTCTCCTTGTCCACTCTTCTCTTCATATGTACTTTTCTTTTGTTGGGATCTCTGTCATTGTTATATTATGTGTCATATGATATCAACCGTAAAACACTATAAAAATAGAAGATAAGGGAAGTGCCCCGACCAGAAGGTAAGGGAACTTTGTCAAATATCAGTATTATTTAATTTGGTTTTTGTTCTTATCCTGGTATCCACATAACTTTTGAGTGCAATATTATTGATATGAGGTTCATTCAGGAATGCTACATAAAATAATAATAATAATCCCGTGTTATCTTTTGCCTCCATTTTATGATGTTATTAAGAATTACAAAACTATCAATTTGTTTTAAATCTGTTTCTACTTTTGATAACAAAATAAAAAGAAAATCTCAAACCAAACATATCCACAAGTGCCACTGTTCCTATTATTTTTTTATGCAACAGGATCATCTGCAATTTAAGAAACTTTTAGGAATGTACAATATTTTTATATATATTTTACTTCAGTATTTATCATATAAATTTTGTTTCATGAGAAGGAAGCCAGGAATGATAATTTATTATATAGTATTTATGATATGGTACTGCTGCTTTTTCATAGTCACATGCAATGCTTGCATTTGAGGAGAGGTCAAGATTGTGTGGATGTCTTAATTACAATAAGCTAAGCTTTGAAGCTTGCAAAGATCTAGCCAAAAACCCCAGAATACCCCCAAGGATTGCAATGCAGGCTCTTATTTCTCAACAAACAAAAATTCCATTAAGTGACTTAGCATATGATGGAAGTGAAATTATGAACCCTTCCCAAATCAGTTTGTACTATGACAATACAGATAGCTTCTTGCAAGAGAAAGAAGATATGAAAATAAACCTCAAGAGAATGCAAATGAGAGTGAGAGAATTGGAGAAATTGTGCAAGGAAATGAAGGTTCAAATGCCAAGGTTTCACTAGCACAATGTTTTGCTTAATCTTTTGAGTGCCAAGATTTTTTATTTTTAAAATTTATGCCTCTCTTCAATAGTCCATCAATATCCCAGATTCTTTCATATCTCTTTGAATTGTATAAAGCTGTATATTTTTAATTCTTTTTTTGGAGTTTGGATGTTATAGTAGAAAAGATCCCTTCAAGATTGCACCATATATATGACAAACATTCTCAGACAAAGTATTTAGCTCATAATATACATGATTTCTCATAAGAATCTGTTTCTTCATTCATAATTTAAGGATTACGTTCCTCTTAACTTTGAAGTTCACTTTAGAAAGATAAAGTAGAATATTAACTAAATTAATAGTTGAAATTTTCATAAAATACATAATATGTAAAATAAATTATAAAATTCACAAATTTTAATTTTTTTAATCAATAGTATTTCGCACTTTATCTTTTGATTTTAGATGAGGTAATTAAAAATTTTAGAGAATTTAAAATTTTAGGAAATTTAAATTACATCATTTAAATTTCTATTATTTATGTATTTTGTTTGGATAGATTAATTTAATTTCTTTCTTTTCATTTTTTTTTGTTTAGATAGAGTAATTAATAACTTACATTCTTAAAAAAATAAAATTACCATTACATCTAACAAAATTAAGTAAAAATATGAAATTTAAATTATTGAATAAACTATAATTAAATAAAAATATGAATGGAGCACACAATAAATGAAGAAATTAATTTCTAATTTTCACTCTTTTGTTAGACTTTAGAATTCTTTAATTTTAGTTAATTAAAAATCTCCACTAAAATTTCTAGAATTTTAAAATATTTAAAATTCAATATCCAAATAACAAATTTTAATCCATAAAATTGTAAGTTTCTTTTAAAAAAAATAAAATACTTATTTGAAATATCTCATCCAAACACACTCCTAAATACACTCTTAGAGGTTATTCTACGCTTTAGGATTCAACATTTAATTTTTTTAAAAAAATCCAAAAGCTTCTCATCATTTTAAAATGGAGCCAAATCATTATTGCATATAACATGGTCCAATTAATCCCACATGAGACATTAAGACAACCTTAGTCTTTTGGTGAAAAAAAATTAGAATCAAACAAGTCTCTAATAATACTGTTCTATCCCCCAAAGACACGAGTCAAGACTAATGATATTCTATAGACACTTACTTTTTTCAATTGACCACATCTGATGTATTATTCACTTTCATTCTCATGGATCTCATGATTTTATCCTTAAAATTTATTCTTCACTTTAGAGTTCAACACTCAATTTTTTAAAAAAGAAATCCAAAAGCTTCTCATCATGGTTAAATGAGGTGGGTGATTATAAACTACCTTTAACTTTTACTCCTATCCAATGTCAAACTTTGAAGGATAGAATAAGTAAAAAAATAAATTAAAATTGATTATTTCAACTTTGAAGGATAGTTTTTAAAAGACATAAAAGTAATTTTTATTTTAGTGGGTAGTTATAATTTCAACTTCTTTTAGAAGCTATTCAAAGTCACATCTTTATAAAAAAAAAAGCTAAAATTAGATTATTTTTAGGGTAGAAGCAAGTATGAATTAGCAAGGTAAATGACTCATAAGTAACTAACCATTTTTAAACTATTAAATGTATTTTAAAATTCATAAACGATTCAAATCTTTTACTTATAACTTAATAATAGAAGTTTATACATATTTATTATTTAATTTTTTATAAATTTTTTTAAAATTTCTCTTTGAACTTTCAAAATCTTTTATTTTGTAGCTTTAAAACCTATTATTGTCTTTTTATCTTTAAAGCTTTATACGTTGTGTTTTTTCTTCTTTACCTTTGTGTATCTTAGATCTTCTAACCTTATTTTAAAAAAATATATGCGCATTCAGTTTCAATACATAATAAAAAATAACTTTTGAATCAATAGAATGTTAAATGTTTTGTTAGATCTTTAGAGTTTTCTATAAACCCTATTTATGAAGTTAATGATTTTTAGAATTAAAACTTTTATATCCACTCTTACAGTCTCAATATTATTTTCTAAAATTAATTTTAGGTATTTTAAAAAATTAAAGTTCAAAAATTAATATTTACTATATAAAAAATATAGTATTATAAATAAGACTTAATTATGTTTTTGGTCCTTATAAATATATACCTTTTTGTGATTAGTCCCTGCAAATATTTTTGTTAGGAAGTGGTCCTTCGAAAGTTAGTAATTTTGGAATTAGTCCATGCTGTTAATCTCCTATCAGTTAAGTGCTGAGCTGGCTAACAGAGAGTCAGTTCAGTATTCCATGTGGCACCACGTGACTATCTTGAGACTCAATCATAACTTACATGACATGTCACGTTATTTATTATTTAAAATTAAAATTTAGAAATAAGCCCCTCAATCTATTTTATAAAATTACATAAAAACCCTTCTTCTTCCCCATTCATTTTTTCTTCTACACTCCTTTTCTTTTCACAACCTTTCTCTCTCCTTCTCCATACCCCTCCCTGTCCCCTTCCGGCACCCTCCCTTACCTCCCACTCCCACAACCATATTCTCTCAACTCCAAACCCCTCTCCATCCCCATCCCCCTCCCCTTCCCCCAACCACATTCCCTCAACCCTAAACCCCTCCCATCCACCTCTCCATTCCCTTCTAGCATCCTTTCCCACCCTACTTCCATTCTCTCAACCCCAAACCCCTCTCAATTCCCTTCCAGCATGTAAATAGAATCGACACTATATTTGGGTGATTCTATGTAAGTACTCTTTGTGTCAATCGTGGAGAAGGGTGGATAAATCTTTTGGGGTATAAGGTCAAGAAGGTTCATGATTTTAGCGTGTGTAATGCGTGAGGCTTAGCAGCAATTCACTCACCAACTTCTATCTTTTCTTACTTTAGAGAAAGTAACATTATATGGCAACCAACAGAGTGTGGGCGAATAGCTTTTCCTTGTTTGTGATAATAAATAAATAAATTGAATTCAGTGGTTGCAATCTGTATCCAAATCAGGAAGAATTCAAACATTATCGTGGTTTTAAATTAATTTGAATGCACTGGGTAGAGTTTTCAAAATTTCTAGTTGGATAAACTATTCGAGAAGAGCATTGTCAAGTTTGTGATACAGGAAAATTAGATTAGCAAGTTGTAATCGGGTGAATTAACAGTAGTTAGTTGCTGAGTTGGCAAACTGTTAATAGTTAGTTAACTTCTGTCTTTTGGGGAAGTGGTCGGGAAAAGTCACGGCTACCTTCATTATATAGTAGTTAGCTGAGATTCAATTGAATCAGCATGTTGTATAAAATTCTCCAAGAATTCTTCTCTGTATCTTTCATTCCAATATCAATAAAGTTCGGATATCATTCTTTTTCTTTGATATCCCTATCACCCGAAATCTTCGAAGTTCTTCTTCTTCCTAGAATTTCTGTATCAAGTGGTATCAGTAGGTAACCTTCCAACCACGATTTCCATGGCTAACAACACTCGCACCGTTCGTGAAGATTTTGAGAGCTTTAAGGCTTCAATGGAGACACGTTTTTCGGATCTTGGAACTTCTTTGGAAGCACGCTTCATGGAAATTGGAGCTTCACTGAGAAACAATCTGGAAGAAATGTTTCGCAATCAAGAAAGCAATGCTATGTCCAATTCCGGTCATCATTCTCGATCCTATTCTTGTCGCACGCGTTTGGCTAGAATCGATTTTCCTCGATTTAACGGAGATGGCGTGAAACAATGGTTAATTCAATGCGAGACCTTCTTTTCTGTGGATGATACACCGGAGGATTGCAAAGTGAAATTGGCAGTGGTTCATTTTGAGGGCAAGGCCCTGCAATGGCACAGTGCCTATGTCAAGAATGTGGGTTTATTGAATCTTCCATCTTGGAGTGAGTACACCAAGATCCTAATTGCTCGTTTTGGTGATGTATGTGAGGATCCTATGGTTGAGTTGATGAAGTTAAGACAAAAAGGTTCTGTTCAAGACTACCATGAAACTTTTGATCAACTAGTTTCTCAAGTGGAACTTTCGGAGGTTAATCAACTAAGCTGTTTCTTGGGAGGTTTGCGTCATGATGTACAAATGATGGTGCGAATGTTCCAACCCAGTTCAGTGACGAAAGCCTTCTCCTTAGCCAAGATGTATGAGTCTGCCAATACCAATTCTAGTGTTACCAAGACCTTCCCAAAGCCCACCAAACCAACCTCTTCCCAAACCTTTCCTTCATCCAAACCTGACAAAAATTCTGAACCCCTGCTTTCCACTCCTGGACCTCAAACACAGGCCGCCAATAAAAACCAAACACAAACCACCAATAGGCTTAGTCCTGCGTATATGAATGACAGAAGGGCAAAGGGGTTATGCTACTTCTGTGATGAACCCTTCTCTACTGCACATGCTCAGACTCATAAAAAGCTTCAGATACATGTGATTGAGGTGACTGATGATGAGGCTCCAGTGGAGGCTGATTCTCGTAACCTTGAGGCAGCAAACTTGGAGGATGGTAATCCCTTAATTTCTGTTAACGCTATGACTGGTATAGCTAATTTCAGAACAATGAGAGTGACAGGATATTTTGGAAAAAAACCTCTGCATTTGCTAATTGATAGTGGTAGCACACATAATTTCTTAGATGTGGAAGTTGCTAAGAAATTAGGTTGTAGAATTGTGAAAATGGATCCTGTTAATGTGTCTGTTGCTGATGGCACTCAGGTGCTGATTGATTCCATGGTAAAGAATTTTGTTTGGTCATTACAAAACACTCAGTTTAGCTGTGATATTATGTTGATTCCTCTGGGCTGTTGTGATCTAGTTTTGGGAGTGGAGTGGCTGGTAACACTTGGTGATATTACATGGAATTTCAACAAATTGTCTATGCAATTTTTCTTCCAAGGCAGGAAACATGTATTAAGAGGAACTACTTCAGTAAATGTGAAAACAATTAGAAGACACCATATGACTAAGGCCTTACAGGAAGGGGCCCATTTTTCTATGCTGCATCTTAGTGACAATGAGGAAAGATTGCTGCACTCCCTTACAAGTCATACTTCTGAACATTCAGTCGACCCTGCGGTAGCTGCTTTGTTACTGAAATTTGAAGACCTATTCAAAGAACCTACTAGTTTACCTCCAAAAAGACAGGGTCATGACCATAAGATTCCATTGCTTCAAGGCACTAATCCAGTTAACAAAAGACCTTACAGGTATGCAAAGCCGCAAAAAGACATTATTGATGGACTGGTGAAGGAATACTTGGCTTCCGGCATTATTCAACAAAGCAGCAGTCCATTTGCCAGTCCTGTGGTGTTGGTAGGCAAGAAGGATGGTTCATGGAGACTGTGTGTTGATTATAGAGAGCTGAACAAGTCTACCATAAAGAATAGATTTCCTATCCCATTGGTGGATGATCTTTTAGATGAGCTGTATGGTTCCTCAATCTTCTCTAAAATTGATCTAAGATCTGGTTATAACCAGGTTAGGATGGATGAGGATGATGTGTACAAGACTGCATTTAGAACCCATAGAGGGCATTTTGAATACTTAGTGATGCCATTCGGGCTAACTAATGCCCCTGCAACCTTTCAAGGATTGATGAATGAGGTGTTTAAGGACTTTTTAAGGAGATTCTTACTCGTGTTTTTTGATGATATTTTAATTTACAGCAGGTGTTTGGTAGACCATTTGCAGCATCTTGAACAGGTGTTATTAACCATGAGAAAGGAGTCTTTGTTTGCTAGGAGATCCAAATGTTACTTTGGTGTGGACAGAGTGGAGTATCTAGGGCATTTTATCTCCAAGGACGGTGTAGCTACAGATCCGGCAAAAATTCAAGCAGTACAGCAATGGCCTTAGCCCCAAACCTTGAAGCAGCTGAGAGGGTTTCTAGGTTTGGCTGGATACTACAGAAGATTTGTAAGGCATTATGGGATTCTTTCCAGACCACTCACTGATATGCTGAAAAAGGACAGTTTTGCTTGGTCTCAAGCAGCGAAGGATGCTTTTCAAAAGCTTAAGGACAGCTTGATTAAGGCTCCAGTTCTTGCTTTGCCTGACTTTAACAAGACATTTGTGGTGGAGGTTGATGCTAGTGGGTCTGGATTAGGGGCTGTGCTCATGCAGGAACATCACCCTCTAGCATTCATAAGTAGATCCCTGAACAAGCAACAACAATCTTTCTCTACATATGAAAAGGAACTTCTTGTTGTGGTGTTTTCCGTCCAGAAATGGAGACATTACTTACTGGCCAAGAAGTTCACTATAAGAACTGATCATAGGAGCTTGAAATTCATATTAGATCAGAGATGGACTACCTCTTTTCAGCAGAAATGGTTAGTCAAGTTGATGGAGTTTGATTTTGACATAGGGTATCGACAAGGTAAGGAAAATGTTGCTGCGGATGCTCTTTCAAGGAGGGAAGAGATCTTTTGTAATGTTGTAGTGACAATGCAACCTGCTTCAGAATTATTGGCTAGGATTAAGGAGTCTTGGTCTGCTGATCCTGCAATTGTCAAATTGATTCAAGAGCTGGAAACCAATGCTGCTAGGCATCAGCGTTATCTTTGGCAGAGGGGTGAACTCAAAAGAAAAGGTAAATTGGTAATAGGGAAGGATTTACAGCTGAGATCTGATATCCTACAATGGTTGCATAGCTCTGCGGTTGGTGGCCATTCTGGAAGAGATGCAACTTTAAAAAGGGTTAAAGCAGTTGTGTATTGGAAAGGACTTACTAATGATGTAAAGGCTTTTGTTCAAGCTTGTACTGTTTGTCAACAATGTATATATCAAGCTTAGAACTGACAGGGAATTCAGCATTGGTGACCTTGTATATATCAAGCTTCAATCTTACAGGCAGATTTCTGTGAGCAATAGGGTCAATGCCAAATTGGCTCCCAAGTATTATGGTCCATTTCCTATTGAAGATCGAGTAGGATCAGTTGCTTACAAGCTTAAATTGCCATCTCAGTCACAAATTCATAATGTGTTCCATGTCTCTCAGCTTAAGAAACATGTTGGCCAAGCTGTAGTTTCGTCTAATCTACCTGTTTCTGTGGAGTCCAGTGCAATTGATAAGGAGCCTGAAGTCATCTTGGATCGCATGACAGTTAAGAGGAAGGGAATAGCAGTCACTAAGGTATTGGTTAAGTGGAAGCATCATCTTCCAGAGGATGCAACTTGGGAGTTCTTTTATGATCTCAAGCAGAAATTTCCTCAATTTAATCCTTGAGGTCAAGGATTATGCTATGGAGGAGGAATTGATACAGGAAAATTAGATTAGCAAGTTGTAATCGGGTGAATTAACAGTAGTTAGTTGCTGAGTTGGCAAACTGTTAATAGTTAGTTAACTTTTGTCTTTTGGGGAAGTGGTCGGGAAAAGTCACGGCTACCTTCATTATATAGTAGTTAGCTGAGATTCAATTGAATCAGCATGTTGTATAAAATTCTCCAAGAATTCTTCTCTGTATCTTTCATCCCAATATCAATAAAGTTTGGATATCATTCTTTTTCTTTGATATCCCTATCACCCGAAATTTTCGAAGTTCTTCTTCTTCCTAGAATTTCTGTATCAGTTTGACCATTAACAAGACCTTTTTTTTACATAAATATTATGAAACCTAATTCGTGTTGAAGAGAAAACAACGAACTTGCATATTTGTGGATAGAATAATTGCGAGATTCGGGAATGGCAAGGGGAGTGAGGAGGAGAAAGGAAAAAGGGTAGAGGTGTGAGTGTGAGAAGAAAGAAGGAAAGAGGTTGGAGTTGTAGGTGTAGGGTGGGGGAAGGGAAGGAGGTGATGGTAAAAGTGGAGGTGTGGGGAATAAGAAGGGAAAGAGTTGTACCCATTGTTGTCTCCTGGTACCCATTTGATAAGTAACTTAAATCTGCACTAAAATTCATTTGGTTAAACATATATATAATGTTGTTGCATAATGTTGGGGAAGAAAATAGAAATGAGGCTCTTTTGGTATCATAGTGAGTGAGGATGAGGGTGGTGGTGAAGGTTAGGGGTGGGAGAGGTGGGGCTGCGGGAGAGGAGTTGATAGAGGAAGAAGAAAAGTTTATTTATAAATATATAAAATTGTTTAGGGGCTTATTTGCAAATTTTAATTTTAAATAAATAATAATAAATAATAGATTATATAGCATGTCACGTAGGTTGTGACTAGGCCTTAAAATAGCCACATGACGCCATGTGGAATGCTGAGATGGCTAACAGAGAGTCAGCTCAATACTTAACAAATGGAAGATTAACAGCAAAGATCAAATCCAATTAGAAAGATCACTTTTAAATAAAAATATTTCTAAGGACTAATTACAAAAAAAAACCTATATTTATAGGGACTAAAAATAAATTTAAGCCTTATAAATAATTTTTTAAATAAAAATTATTTTATTTATATATTTCAAATTAGTCCTAAGAACTAATATAATAAACTTGTTTAAAATGATATTATATAAGGTTTATACTAATAATTTGTTAAATTTATTGTTATTTTTATTTCTACTCTATTATTTTATCGTAATTTTTTTTTTGTGATTTATATATATAAACTAATTTAACATCTCATTTTCTTAAATATTTTAATTAAATAAGATAATTATTCAAATATTTTAATGTTTTTACATTTTATTTAATTTTGAATAACTTATTAGATGATTTAAGAGTTAAAAAAAAAGAGTAAATTGAATTCAACATTTGAATTAATTAAAACAATAATAAAAATTATAATACAAAGAAGAAAAAAGACACAAGTCAAAAATCAAGTAAAAGGAATAATTATCTCATATAAATAATTTTTATTCTACTATGATAAAAAAATAAAAATAAATTAAGCTAATACTGTAACAACCTTATTTTTTTTTATTTAGCGTGAATAATAACTTGCAACAAAATTATAAATAAATTGACTTTTTCTTAATATTTATAGCCTGGAGACTTGAATAAAGAGCCAAAGTTAATTTTTTTATTATTCATTTTATGAGAATTTGTAGGTATTAAAGTTTTAAAGGAAATATTTTTAAAATTTTAAATTTATAAATAGAATAAAACTAAAATTTTAATCTAAAAAATTTACTTAGTGCACAATACATACACATATATATAGGGAAAAGATCTTCTCACACTAGTGTACTATTATAAGTCTAAAAACTTTTACACTTAATCTGAGTTTTTCATTTAATTTATATCTAACGGGTTATATATATATATATATATATATATATATATATATAATTTTGAAATAACTGACACTAACTATCTAGTAGAGTAAATTTCTATCTAAAATAGCTAACTATCAATATTACAATTTCAAATAATTTAAATTCTACAGAGCAATCTTTCCTCCCAATATCATTAGGCTATGATCTTAAAACAGACCAATCTTTCTTTTATTCTCTTCAATTTCGTTTCCTAAAAATAATTAGTAATGGTGAGTTCCTTGTCCCACTAAATCTCTTATTTAACAGAATAATTTAAATGAAATTAAAAATATTATCTAACACACACACACACACACACACACATATATATATATATATATATATATATATATATATTAATAATAACACATATAACATACAACGATTATCATAGCAGAGCATATATACTAAGTTAATTACATTTATAAAATTCATAACATATATTTCTATACTGATCTGTATGTCATAATGCATGTATTATATCACATCAATTAATATAGTACAATACATGTATTTTAATCATACCTGTCGATGTATTATAACACATATATCATAACAACACCAATTGATATATTATAATACATATATTATAATCACACAATTTTTTTACTACTTCACTTTCATAATCATTGCTCTTGGGATCCCTTGAGGACTTCATAGTATAGATAGTTGCTTGTTAGCTACTGCATAAGGATACAACATGTACTAACCGAACCTCTTTTAGCAAATGTGTGATCAGGGGTGTAGGTCAGGAAACGAGTGTGAAGCCTATGGTGTCTTTTCCCTCTATTTCATTAATTATACGTAATCATAGAAAAACATCCACCACCTTCATTTTTCCTAGATTTCTAAAATCGTCCCCATCTTCCATACCCTCAGTGTATCTATGTGACTATCTATACATATTCATAGCATTTCTCATATTATTCTCTTTCTCAGCATTTCTCATATCATTCTCATTCATTTTTACATATTTTTCATAGATCAGCATGTCATAATATGTAAGTTATCATATAAATTAATGTATTATAATACATGTATTATAAGTACACCTATCAATGTACCATAATATATGTATGATAATCACATCCATCAATCTGTATGACTCACGTATTATAATCACACATCTTATAATTTCCCAATCATGTTATATTATCTCCTTTTATATATAATACAAGTTCAAGTTTTTATATAGATAAAATTACGACTTATTTATTTAAATAATATATTTTTATAAATTATTTTTAAATATAAAATTAATTAATTTTTTTTCATGTAAATAATAATATTGTATTTAAATGAACGATAATATATTTTTATTATTATTTTAATATATTATCACATCATAATCATAATACAGGTCCAATGTTTGATATGTGAAACTTGAAAATTTAATAAAAAAATAATAAATAGTTTAAATAGTAATATATTAATTAAGACGATACAAATCAAGTGTTAATAAAAAATATGTTCGTGCGTAACAGGCTTGTTTTTTATTAAATTAATTTATTTTAACATATAAAATATATATATATATATATATATATTAAATATAAAAAATATATAAATATAATAAAAAAATTATTTATCAAAATAAATTATTAGTTCAAATTATTTAAAATATGTATAATTTAGTATTTTTTTAGCATAAATA